TTATTGTCGCGGTGGTAACGACACACTGTATATATTATTTTAATGTGCAGACCATTTAACTTTAATTATTATATGTATATTAAAATTGAGTAGTTATATCAATATTCTTCATAAAACAATTAACATGCTTATTTCCGTGGTGTGGGCTGTATGGATTCTTTCAATTACTAACTTGCTTACTTAACTTCTTTGAAAGGTATGTTTTACACAAATAAAACATACCTTTCAAGTTGAAATAAATATTTACAAAATATTCTATGATCACAAGTAACTTAAACAATTATTAAGTACAGTTATAATGAGTTAGATATTTCCCATAGACTGTGCAAGTGGCTGTTTAATATAAAGCGATGCTAACTTAGACATTGAAAAGCCCTTGCAGTCAAGATATCCAGAAAATACTGTTTAAACTATTGTTCATGATTTATGATATAGTTTATACTACATTATCTTTATATTTTTACTTAAATGGTAATCATAATAGATAGAAAGTCAAGCAAGTCTAATGATAATAAAAACTTATTATAACTACACTTGTTTGGCGGCTATTATAAATTTAAGTGCAAAAATCTTTCCCTGAACGAATTTTTAAGATGTAAATAACAATTTTACTTACTGCCCACACTTCGACGTGCTGGGTTGATGTAGAAAATCATCCATCCTGGTTGAAAAAGCATGGAAACGTAAAGAATGATATTCAACCTCAAGTCTTCCACCACCGTTTGTGATAGATCACGTTTTAAAGTTATGAGAGAAATTGTAAGATCTCTAATCACACTTTAAACAGCACTAAACTCTAATGCATAACACAAAAAAAGTTTCAGAAGAAAATTAAAGTACAAGAAAACACTTGGCGAATGACAGACACAGCAGATCAACTTATTATGTCACTGTCAACAATTCGTTCTGAAATTGCATATTCTAATTTTACTTCTTGAATTTCTTTTATGCGTAAGATAATAAAAGGAATCTATACTCATAACATAATTTTAAAAGATCGAAGTCTGTAGAATTTTTGTCCATGATATAGTTTTCATCGACGTACTGTTGGAGGTTCAACTTAAAATACATTTTAACACAAAAAAATAGACTGATATTTTCTTGTGGATCGTTTTAAATTGAATGTTGCCCAAGTTAAGTTATTTGATGAACTTAAGGCTAATTTTTTTTTTCGTATATTATGGAAGTTGACGCCGCACTTACATGATATTACTTAAAAGTTTTTGGTTCAGTACAATTGTTTTATCAAAAACATATAGATGTCGTGTTTATCATTTTAAATGTTTATATTAACACACATAGTTCAAGCATTACCAAGTTTAAAACTTAATTTTTTTAATGATTCCCCCAAAACGGCCTTATCTATCGTCAATTTTGCTTAATCCAAAACGGCAAGTTTGAGAACATTAACAGAAAGTCAATCGAGGGAAGAAGTACGGCGTTTCGATCTCAAGTCTCTTCAGACCGAGACGCGCTTATAAACGCGAATTGCGTCTGAATGCTGAATATATTGAGTAAAGTCACGTATAACATAAAAGTCGATTGAGCGCCGCAGATCAGTCTCGACGCGCTGAAGTACGAATTGCCGAACATCGAGAGATTAATCTCTGATCGTATGCGCCACGAAATTTCCCGATCTGGAGAGACAAAATTTGAATGAGTACAGCGTTCAGCTGATAACAGCAAACGGTACGAAATCTCATGGTTACTAGAGTCAAGTCAATAAAGAAGATCACGTTTGTTTGCTGACCGTATCTGTCATGAAATCTCACGTTCTGCAGAAACGCATGAGGAACGATTGTTGCATTTGTCTGTTTATCGCACCCGCCGCGAAAGCACACGCTATCTAAGTCTGTACAAATAGATAAGGAAACAGATTTGCGTTTGTTTTTCGATCAAATACGTCATAAAATATCACGGATGTAAAGAACCAGAACAAGTTGGTAATAATGATTCTTTTCTATATGGCAAAAAGAGAATTAATCTGTATATTAAATTGTGTTAATGCTCTTTTGTCATTTAAGACCATTCTAAGAATGAGAAAGTAGTTATCCGATCTCATTCATAATTACCTATATTTTTTTTAATTCTTACATTTGTCTTCTTTATCCTCATCAAGTTAAGGAATGTTATAAATAGGATAAATAAAAAGAACACTATACATTTAGAATAATTTAATGCATAATTTGGCATTTCATTATTGGCCTAATTTACTTAGTTTTAAATTTCATACAGATTCACATAGATATCATGTAAACAATAAAATATTTCCTTCAGTGTTATTTTTATAAACAAAATTAGAAGACAATGACAAAGCATTACAACTAAAATGTGCGCCTTAATTGAAAATAAAAAAACGTTTTTGTTAGGCCAACATTATTCCTAATTTATTCAATTCATTAAAGGTTGTCAGAGTTGTTAGCGTAATTGTCAAATTCATGGTTTTACCCTACATTGAAGAACCTTTATTTCCTTCATTTATTTCAATATATTTATTTTAAACAATTAACCCATCTTTGCCTGTACCATCACACTTCTCACCAAATTGAACACACCATTTTGATTATAATTTCAATTATCTTAAATACCAATTTTTTGTTGTTTCCTCATTTATAATTTACAAGCCATTCAGCCTACAATATGTGAAAATATGTTTCAATTGGATTTTATTGAAGATGACTACTTGAAATATGGAACAATAGCAACAAGTCTTAGTGTCCTCTATGAATTCCCCTTGTTCCCATGGACCTAAAATTAAAATTAATTCGAATATTATCATTTGTTATATTATAATTGTCATTTGCATAAACTTTGTACAGATTCAACATTTCCGAGTTGATTGCTAATTGACAAGTATTATAGTTACTCATTATTGTGATGTGTCAATATATATGTTTGTTAATTTATTATTCGTCTACTGTTTCAATACATAATTTATTTTTAAATGTAATTTATGGATAGGAATTCCAATTATCTAAGATAATGAGCTATAGTAAGAATAGCAGATCCAAAAATATAATTTTTGCAAACTTATTAATTTATAGATATAATGACTGAAAAGAAAATTATATTTTAACAATGTCATACTGCATTAAACAAAATTCAATAGAGAAATTGATTTAATTAGACAGATAAATTTTAAAAATATCTAATTAACAAAATTAGGCCAATTTTGTAAAACTCAAAATTTTAGAAAATTTTTAGAAGTAAAGCTTTAATTGAATTGAATATTTAAAAGAAGTGAACATAGTAGCTTCAAGATGCATTATAGTTTGTATATATTGGCTTCATAGAATTTTATTTACAAAATTTCCGTTTTCACATCTAAATCACTTCCAAGTCCATACATTTCAATCATTAACATACTTGTACAGGCCCTACATTATCACCTATCTCTGTTAACAATAATTCAATTCCATCACAAACATTCCATATATTCACAAAGAATAAACTCTGATTTCATGCAATTATAATAATTTTAACAACAGTTTGTATTTGCATCCTATTTACCTCCCTGATAATATTTGCACCTATGTGAATATTAATTTAAAAATTTTGGAATAGTTCAATTTTACCAAAGATTATTTATTTTATTAGTTATTTTTACTTTGTTTCGTTCATTCCATGTCACCCTTAAAGTTAGTCGTATTACTATGATAATGTAAATCGATAAATTATATTACAAGAAATACTAATACAAAATAAATACCCTAAAAATTATAAATGATTTTATTTATAAAACAAAATAAATACCCTAAAAATTATAAATGATGTTATTTATAGTTCTAGAATTGCGACAGCTAGTCTTGGGCCAGTTTTTAAGAAATTTCTTTGTAGTTGTTCCCGAAACTGGACGAAATTAATCTATGATAATAGTTGATTGTTTAGGACGCAACCATATGTTTCGAGTTTATCGATTACAATAATTACAATAAAAACAATCAATATGGCAGACTTTTTTATTATATAGGTGGTAAAAGACAGTTAAAGAATAAAAAAGCGGTATCCACGCCTACTCTGGACGGCCGATCATAACAAAAAAAAATTAATACTGAATTTTACAAATAATTTCAATTAACAAAAAAAAAAACTAAATTAATTTCCTGAAATATTTTTAAAATCATGGTCAATCTTTCTCCTTTCTCAATCCAAACAGAGATAGCTATCTAGTCCGCACCAACCACATTATATCCCAAACTTGATAGTAATTATAGTATGTTTCCTCACAAATTGAGTTTTAATTTATATTATGTGTACTTATCATATTGAGCTACTGATTCACTGATGATTTTTGAATAATCCCAATAGCAATTAGAATGAAGAGGAAAAATTTTGTGTTGACCTAATCAGAAGAAAAGTTCAAAAATAATATTTTATCGATATTAATAAATTCCATCCATGCTTCTCAAAGTGGGGTAATATTCTGATAGTAATATTTTTACTTAGAATAAGAAATGTTTAATTATCCAACCAATATATTTAAAATATGCTTATGCATTGACATTCTTCCTCCCAGTTAGATTGCGCAATATATTATGAATTGTGAGTACATACATTTCATTAAACATCTAAAATCTCGACATTAGAACTACTAACAACCATTTGGATTTCAACTACAGTAAATATATTTTTAATATTGAAAGATCACACAGAGGGGTCACTGTTTAATAGATACAATTTGGTTATTTCTAAAGTAAAGTTAAAATATAGACGATAGTGAAAGAGGTTCTCAATGATTTGGACGATTTATATTAGTTAGATTGATAACAGTGATAAATATGTTGATATAATTTGAAAAGAAGACGTCGACACTATCTGGCGTGGGGCACTCTTTCAACATTTAATGGTGTAATATGGCATTATGCTTCTAAATCTATTACATTTGATTAAACAAAAATTTTATCCCGTTTGCTGTGGAGCTTTATAGCGTGTCTCAACTCTACGAAGTTGGAATTAAGCAACGAAACTTGGCTCCATACGGGAATCGATCTCCAAATTTACTTTTTGGAGTTGGAATCGCCCTTGTTGGCGCGATTGTCCTTGACCGGGATCTGAAAGAAAAAAGATTGGTTGATAAACAGAGTTTGGTTATTTAAATTTGTAAATGTAACCTATAGGTATTATTTGCAACTATTCTACAATGTTTGACAAATAAAGTAGACATTTATGTAAATTCTGACACCATGACGGTGACAGAATTAAAAAAAATACTTAAGTAACTTGTATTACGTGTTGCTAAATAGTTGAATAGGTTTAGGCAAAATGTCTGCATTGAAGTTGACCAATTTCTATTTCTATAAAACAATACACTACGCGTTTGTGCCTTACAAACGCGTTTCATAACATTCAAAACTTTCGATTTTTGCTGGACCTTCTCCATTAACCTATTCCATAGCTTCCTTGACGACTAAGAACGAAGAGCTGCTCAGGTTATTAGGTTGTCCAGGGAATCTGAACTGACGCGCTCTTGGGCATTGAAATGTGTAGAAAAGAACTGTGTGAAAAGATTTTCCTTCGCTGCGGGAATCGAACCCACGTCCTCGGGATTCGCGGCCAAACGCATCGGACGCTAGGCTAAACGGCCAAGGCGGTTGCCACACGCCTTGTTTTGAGGGTTCCGTACCCAAAGCGTAAAACGGGATCATATCGCTAAGACTCCGCTGTCCGTCCGTGTGAACGATGATAGTTAGACAGTTGAAATTTTTACAGATGATGTATTTGTTCTGTTGCTGCTATAACAGCAAATGCTAAAAATACTCCCGTACATTGGACATGATTTTTATGCCGTTTTATCGATAACGGTACGGAAGGCCTCGTGTGCGAGTCCGCCTCGCACTTGGCCGGTGTTGTTTGTACTTTTTCGCGCATTTGAAAGAGCCCTCGGGCGTCGGGAGTAACGCGGAGCTGGCCGCTCACCGTGGCGCGCTGGTCTTCCATGCGGCCGGACTGGGCGCGCATCAGCTGGTTGAAGAAGTCGTCGTCGGGCAGGGTCTTCGGGCGCCGCTCCGGCTTGAGGCTCGGCAGCTCGGTGCGCTGGTCCTCGAGCCGCGAGCCCTGGGGGGCGTGCGAGGGATTTAGAGAGAGAGAGCAGGAAAGAACGAGAGAAAACATATTTTATTGCGCACATACGCTACACCAGGGTTGTATAGTTCCAACATCTTAGGTAGATAAGAGTTCGAGACCGAACGATTTTTTATTTTTATTTTTACGAGTCCAGATGATTTTACTTACTTTCTACCTTATTTTTTTTTAAATATTTACCCTTATTTCGTTGAATATAGGAACCGGGCATTAGATGAGGTTAGAGCGAGGGACATGTAGGGATCGTGAAAAGTGAAAGAGCGTAATCTTTGCCCATTCTTCTGCGAGGCAGAAGTCAACGTTTATATTTATATAGTATTTAACATATGCGTATATACAGCGTGTCGTTACCATCGCGACAATAAATGAACACACGTCTATCGCTACTTGCCAATAATCATAAAAAAATATTAACGTTAAACAAAATCCATAATTAAAAAACATATTTTTCAAACAAACTAATTAAGTAAAAAAGAAACAAAACATCCTATACAACTCGCGCACAGCGTCATATTACAAGCCTCTCCTTCTAACAGTATGTTTTGTCTCTTTTAAATTCATTCAACCCATTCATATGATTTGTGACCTTTACAAATGAACTTTACGTTACGCTTTTATAGGTAAGGATGTTCTAAAATTCTTTGTTTTGAAAAATTTAATAACTCTGTAAATATTGATGTTTTAAGAATTTAAATGTTTAATACAACTTTAAAAAGTTATCCCCTATATGTGTGTTCATTTATTGTCGCGATGGTACCGACACGCTGTATAATTTTAGTACAGTTTGTAAATATCAGCATTTTTCCTTTTTAAATATCTTTCTGTTGCCACCCTAGGGTTGACTGAGGGATAATGCCTTTGGCATTAGGTCCGCTTTTGTACTGTGTGTGTGTGTGTGCATAAAGTGAATAAATAAATAACGTTTATGTGCAAAAGTGGAATGGCCAGCATTTGAGTGCCTGTCTGGACTGGGTGCGCGATCGTGTGTACCTTTTTTACGTGAGAGACGGTACAACTGATCTTAGGCGATAGCCGCCGCCCATTGACATTTGCAACACCCGTAAGGCTGCTTTGGGACCTTTCAATAAATTATACCTCATCCACAAGACGAAATGCCCAAGTAAAGCACTTCCACTTAGAGCCGATCTTCGTGTTGTGGTACCTACCCGGACGTACGTGCTCTTCGTGTAGGCGGATTGCACATGTTCTAAATATATATTTTTTGTAATTACATGTCTCGATATTACGCCCTCACGTTTCCCCTCGACGCTGAGCACGTGCTAAGTTAGCACTTACAATTATGGATTTCATTGGTGCCGGCACCGGGGTTCGACCTGAGGTGGCTCGGTGGATTTAACCATAAGCGAGCGCCCGGACAGTGAGCATATTACTCAAGACTAGGTAATTACTATAAGTTACTCAGTTTTCGTCATAACGATGGTTCCCAGAATTTATGCGAAGGCCTCGCATTAATTTGCGGATAGTGCTTCGATTTAAAAAAATTCGAGCGCCCGGACAATGGCGACAGCGTATGCCGTTGCGTGGCACGACCGCATATGCCCGGTTCCTATATTTAACGAACGGCCGTTAGTTACGTAACTTCGTAACTTTCATAACGACTTCATAGTGACAATGTAACTAACGGCCGTTCGTTGAATATAGGAACCGGGCAATAGAGGGGCTGGTGCGAGTGGTAGTACCTGGAAGCGGGCGATCATCTCGAGGAAGTCCTCCTCGGGCTTGGTGCAGGTGGTACGCTGCGGGCGGAGGCCGGGCAGCGAGGCGCCCTTCGCCAGCTTATGCGGCTTCTTCGGCAGCGGGCGGAGCTCGGCGCGCTGCGAGTCCATGCGCTCGGACTGCATGTCCGTTATCATGTTCAGCATCTCCTCGCTGGGGCTGCGGAGCGGCGATTGGCGCGCGGGTTAGGCATCACTCAAACTGTCGTGCGGTGATTGGTCAACGGATTGGGCATCACTCAAACTGTCGCGCGGTGATTGGTCAACGGATTGGGCATCACACAAACTGTCGTGCGGTGATTGGTCAACGGATTGGGCATCACACAAACTGTTGTCGGTGATTGAATGAATGAAATATGCTTTATTGTACACCAGACCTAATTTAAAATTACAAAAGTAACAAACAGTTACATAAAGGTACAATTGGCGGCCTTATCGCTTAGAAGCGATTTCTTCCTAAGTATACAATGATCAGTGAGAAGGGTTTGAGGTATACGCTATTGTAAATATAGGTATTATGGACACAAGTACACAACACTACTATACACAAATAAATAAATATATATATGAATAAATACATATATACATTTAAATTTATTTATAACAAACACAATTTTTTAAATAAATTATGAGAAAAAAAAAGAAAAAAAATCATAATACACAGATAAAATGTTTACGGAGGAAAAAAATGAGCTTTAACGAGTCTTTTAAATATTGCCAGTGATTGCGCCCGCCAGATTTGAAGCGGTAAGGAGTTCCAAAGCCTGACCGCTTCGACAGAAAAGGATTTGGAGAAGAAGGAATTATGGGAGGGATTTTGATAAGGTCAGGTTATTAGGGGGCGTCCATAAATTAGGTGAGGTGTTTTTTTTTTTAATTTTCTGTCCCTCCCTCCCCCCCCCCCCCTGGTGAGATGTCGTGAGATTTTATTCAACCCCCTCCCCCATCCCCCAATCTCACGTGAGATTTTTCAAAATGTGGGTTTCTTACGTAAACGCGTTGGATAGTTATTTTAAAAAGAAAAAAAAAATTGCTTCGTGCTTTTATTTACGACTAGTTAAGACTAGTAATCAATATTGCTGGGAGTTTAATTACAAGAATAAACAAAGCAGGTTGGAACCTGTCCGTGTGTCGCTGCCACTCAAAGCAAAAACAAAGGGCTACACTGTACCGTAAATTCAGATTAAATTGAGCTATTTGGTATAAAACAAATATGGTGGTTTGACAGTCAGTAAATGTATAACGTGAATGAAATTATTTTCTTTCGAACGAATTAGTGAATGATCTTAAACGTATTACGCGATTACGCTCAAGATAAAATCTTAAGCATGTACAATCTGGATTAAATGGACCAAAATAGTATAATTTTTTTTTGTTTCAATCAGATAAAAAATTGTGTGATATTTGCCGAGACCCCCCTCTCTCCAACGTAAGATTAGATGAGATTTGACTCGACCCCCTCCCCCCCTTAAACACCTCAAGTAATTTATGGACGCCCCCTTATCGGAGTGAAGAGAGTGACAGTGAGTGTTACTGAGGAACTCAAATCTCTCTTTAAGATAAGGAGGGGGAGTAGGATTGAATGGAATACAGTATAAAAGAAAAGGAATATGGGTATTCATGCGAAGGCGAATCGGCAGCCACTTGAGTTTTTCGCGATGTTCTTCCGAACCACGTTTCCACGTGGTCATATTTTCGGAGTCCAAATATGAACCGTATACAAAGATTTTGAATGCGCTCAAGTTCTAATTAAGATTCAAATAGCATGAATCGACATAATCGAGAATCGGTGATTGGATAGGTGCACAGATGAACCTGCACTCTAGATTGGTGATTTCTCGTTTGGAGTAGCAGCCTATAAATGTCAATGCTGGGCGAAGGCCTCATCTGCACAGAGGGCATTAGGGCATAGCCTACTACGCGCAACCACTGCGGATTGGCGGACTTCACATATCTTTGAAATATATTATTTAGTAATTATTTCGAAAATGTGCAGGTTTCCTCACGACTTTTTCCATCGAATCTGAGAACGTGATAGGTTAGAACTTCAAATTAAAAATTTCATTGGTGACGACACCGGGGTTCGAACTCAGGTTGCTTGAGTATATTGCATATCATCAGTATTTCAGCAATATATTCAAAAACTTACCACAGTTATGTTAATTTTTTCTTTTTTTTTTCTTTAATTCTGCTCCTTTTTCTGGATGGTCATCAAAAAATAACCACGAAGGTTAAGAACCTTCTAACCTAATCTATCCAAGTCGGATTGCCCTGTGTCGTTTTTGTGACGATTATGACGTTGTCCGCTTCTTATATTTCATGTTGGCAAAACTGTGTATTGAGTTTTTGAAATCAAATTAATAAAACGGCGGACTTTCTCAGTGAAAATAACAAGTTTTAAATATTTTTTTCTCGAAAACTATAAGCGACCGGCGAATTCTGCTTGTTGATTAATTTATTAGTGATTTTTCTCTATCGTTTAAAATTTATTTCAATTGTATTGCGCCAACGTAAAAATTATTTACATTTACCCAATTCATTTTCATCATATGAAATCATCATCTTATCCTTTAAACGAGCAATTCTTGTACATTCCAGCGATTTTCATGAAATTTAGTATGTGCGTAGATTCGGGGGCGAAAAATCGATCTAGCTAGGTTTCATTTTTAGAAAATAGCCTTTTCTCCCTGTTTGCAGGGAATGAAAAATATCATTCGAATATGACGGTAAATTTCGCCGCAAAAAAAAATTTTATAATAGCTCGGTCGGTAATCGGGCGGCCCCAAAACAGACGGCCGCGGTTCGTATCACGATCATTTACATACTTATTTTTCGATTCCAGATCATTGCTTTCTTTATTTTTTATTTTTTGTCGATTTGATATCTTTTTCCCTTTTTTTTTTAAAGTTCATTCTTTTGTGAAAAACACCAGTTCATATTTTCTTATAATTACGTCGGTAAGATCGAAAATATTATGCATATTTCATTACTCAGTAGTTTGTATCTAAATGTAATTTTCAAAATACACGATTTACAAAAAAAAAACCGAGCAAAGCTCGGTCCTCCAGGTACTTATTTTTTATGCATCTTGTTACAATATCACTTCTGTCCTGTGTTCTCTGATATAGTGTTTTTTTCTATAATTGGATCCAACATAACTGAAGCTAGCATACATAACTAAGCTGACTCTAACATATATTGTTGTTGTTTATTAGCAAATCTCGGATGTATATTGGTCTGAAATCAATATGACGTGTTCTTAATATTTTCTAAACACGTTCACGTTTTAATTCACATGACATCGTATAACTCAGATACAGATTATGTTTAAATAAAGAAAGGATATAAATTATAAAGGAATACGAATTGCAAATAATAATATTGTCCGACAAGACGTTCTCTCGTTATTTCATTCCACTATTCCGTTTTAACTAACTCCGAATAGAAAACAACTCGTTAAAAAATTTTCCGAGAAGCGTTTCTCGGAGCACGGATCAAATTAAGAACGTTTGCGCAACTGCGTCACGGATTTTCCGATAGCGTACAAAGTTAAAAAATTTCACGGTTTCGCGATTTCCTCGTTTGATATTCCATAAAACACTTTTCAAGTGAAATCAGTTCGAATGGCGAGAGAGTTAAAAGAAATAACCGGCCAAAGCCGAACGATTGTACACACCGGACGGGTTCCGTTAGCTCCGGCGATCTCATGTCGGGAGCACGAAAAGGGCTTCGGACGACTGGCGTTTGTAGTGCGACGCTCCAAGCGGCACTGTAGCGTGCACGTAAGCGTTTGATGAGTGACGACGTATCGACTCCGTGTACGCTTTGTCACAAAGGCATTTACGCCTCGCGGGGATTTATAACGTTCCGCTTCGAAATTCGATAAATTTCCTTGCATATTGGCACCGTACTGTATGTGTATAACATGTATAACAATAAAACTGATTTCCTTAGCGAAAAAAAAGGCAAGTTATAGTTCCCGTTCACTTTTTCCCCGTTATAATAATTTTTAACAAAAAAAGAACCGACTTCAAACAGGAAACTAAAAAAACATTGATAATACCTAAACCATTTGAGGATTGACCTCGATTTTTCTGGAATGCCATAATCAGATCCGGGTTTTCTTATCATGGTACCACTCTTGGGATATCTCCTTTCCAAAAAAAAAAGAATCATGAAAATCGGTTCATAAACGAGGAAGTTATCCGCGAACACACATAAAAAAATAAAAATATATACGGTCGAATTGAGAAACCGCCTTCTTTTTTGAAGTCGGTTAAAAAATATGCGTCGGCAGCATTTTTCGTATCATAATCGCAGTGTCTGATTTGTTAATATGTCGACTAAAAATGTTTGTCCGAGTGCACATTTTCACTTTACATTATATGACATGTATATATGTGAATGTGACAGATCATATAGAACGTATGATACGGAAAGAGATAGCAGTCTATGGAATTGCAATCTAATTACACAAATTGGCGTGATTATCATATCTATCATATCTACCCCGTATTTGTATATAATATAAGGTGGACCGTTGGCGGGCAGTTGAGATTAATTTCGGAGGATGATTAAATTTCCCTATAAAATGAACGATAAAATCTGTCGCCACTCGTCGGAAATGTGCTTTGATTATTCGAACGTAATTAATTCCAGTCACCGCACTGGCATCTGAGATTTTGACACGAAAATATTGAATGTTAAACGGGACAGCTAAAGGACGCATAATTATTAAGCGACATCAAGTGGACTGTTTACTATGAGTCCATACATGGTGTAGACTCTAATAGTCAACAACTCATACCGTTGACACACGTCACTAACTAATATCACACACTCCGGTGCAAGCGACAGACTCGCTATCCACTACGTCAATTGGGTCGTCAAATTTATACATATCGCCTTGATGTCTGTATAAAGTGTAAGGCTTAATTGTAGAATGTCCCTTCACAATACGTCAAAATGTTCCATGCACTGTGATATGCTCCATCGAATTTCCTCGTACCATCATAAGATTTCGTCTACTAACTCAATTTAACCAAACTGGCAATTCTCCTAACTGCCGAATTTCTTATTAATTCTTTTCGATTCCATCGATGTAAAATTTTACATAGCCGTTTAATAAACATTTTAAGTATACAAATGGTAACGTGTTTCTAAGTAACAAAACGCTTTTAGAGCATTGATATGCAAGCGCTAATTGGTCGTAACAGCTGGGGCCTGTTAAAATAATAAAATAGCGTGTTGACAATTATTCGTGAACTAGCAATATGTTCACTGGGGAACCTGTATTGTTTTTTTTTACGGAAATATTTATACAACCATAGAAATGTGAGAGATCAAACTATATAGCATTAGTGTCGCATGGAACATTAAAATAATCCATCAACTAAAAAATAGCTGCACGTTATTTGCGATAGAATAAGATAAAAATAACACGTAACTTTTCGGTCGGTGTCTTTTTCTATTAAACATTTGAACCAGAACAATCGAACTTGTGACACAATCATAAAATAGCCGGGTTACTGAGACCGCTCGATGTTAGTGTGAACTTTGCTTATTCACGTGCACCGTGCTCATATCGGAAATTAAAAACGCGGTCGCACCGCCAATTTCCCAAACGTCAAGCGCACTTTGTGCAGCTGACGTCACGAGTCGCGCGCGTTCAAATTTTACCCAACACGACGGCTGTCAGAAAGGAAATCAAACCGAAAGCAGCGAAAACGCGGTGCGGCGACCGAGCCCAGTTGGAAAACGCTCGCGTCTCGTGCGTAGCGTTATCCCCGCGCGCTAATCTAGAGTGGCGACGGATCGGAGATAGCGATAGGCTTGTCATGTACGGCCGGCAGCCCTCCACACTGATAAGGCGCCGTGACATCACCGACGCGCCGCGGCTTTATATTTCGTCTTTTCTATCTATGAACGCAGCTATTTCACTTATACTTATATCTTCTCTCTTATTCTTAGGAGAAAATGTGAACAATTCTATTAATGATAGTGGCTAGGTTTATGTACGACCGGCCTGCTTGTTCGCTACGTCAACCCTCCTTGGGAATTAACACCCAGGATATGGACAATTATCCGTAGGTCACAAAGATAGTTGTCTCGTGTGAGAGTCGAACCCACGACCCATTGCGCCGAGGCCAAGCTTAGAAACAGAGCCACTATAATAACATAATAGTTTCGACTGTATTATTACAGTTGCAAATATGAGGAGTTTGTGTTGCGTTTTGTTTTTATCACAAACGGAGAGGAAATCGAGTTGACCCTATATGGGATAGGTTACCTCACGAATAATGGCTTCGTGAACTACTCAATACAAACTTCAACAATACCATACGTAGTTTAACAAGGTTGCTGAGAAAACTACTAACAATAATATTATATATGTAAAATTAATTTTACTGATAATTTTGTTAACTTGAGCAAAATACAAATACAGTAGCAACGGTTAGGTAATTTTACTAGCCGCAAATGTTCGCTCTAAAATGTTTTACTATAATTGAGAGCAAAACCCGATATTGAAGCGATCTCTTCGCAATAATTCTGTTATCATAACGTAATTAAGTTCGTTACTGGGTCAAATCCTTCGACGCTTCGCAAAATGACGACAGGCGACCGGTTGGTAAAATTTGAGGGTTCTCAAGAATATACAACTCAATACATAGGACGCTTCTTAGGCTCTAATTTAATTTTACTGATGAATGATTACATTTTTTTTAATAATTTAGTTTGAAATACTCAAGTCACTAGACTATAAGTTGTTTTTGCATTTTGTGCGGATGGGGCTGGCTGTAAGTCCCAACGAACACTCCGATCTTTCTTAACTTTGATAACATTGCCCCCTTATAATATTTTTTTTACATATTTTATTTGTTTTAAAAAAAAACATGTAAACGAAAAAGTGTAGTCTGTGGTTAATTTCATCTTCCCCGTGATCGGATTAGCACAAAAGAAATGATAGTGTGTGCTGTTCACACACGGTAGACGTGGAACTACGGAAAAGTTGCCTACGAAAGAATGGGACGAATATAGAAAGTATCAGAAGTAGGGCAGTTGTTAAGTAAATAATTTCAATATTTTAACTAAGTTTATTTTCGGACCCTGTTATTATTTGAGTATGTGAGGGAGAGCTTGAAAGTGGCACCAGTGACTGAAAAAATAAGGAGTGGTAGGTTGACATGGTATGTGCATATTATGAGAAGGGATTAAAGAAAGTGACTAGAAGAGTGATGAAAATAAATGTGGTTGGTGGGTGCAAGGCTAGAGGAAGACCGAGAAAGATTTAGCAGGACTGTGTGAAGAATGTCTGTGAAAGGGTATTGAGGTCACAGCTGATAGAGGAATGTGGAAGGAAATGACATGTTGTGCTGACCCCACCTAGTGTGGGATAAGGGCAGGAGAAAGAAGAAAAAGAAGATTTTTACCAAGTTTAAAAGTTATAGTTATCGACATACATATTTGCATAATTTATATATGAGGGAGATAAAAATGTTTACACCAAAAATACACACTTCACTATGGTAGGGCCACAAAAAATATCCTTAATTTATTATTATTACCACTTTCTTTGCGCGTCGCATTTTCGTTACATCGAGTTTCAAATGGGATCGATTCTAAAGAAGTTTCACTTAGTTTTTTAAGTGAGAAGGTAAGCGAGCTGGCGGTTTACCTGTCTTTAAGTGACAACCGCCGCCCATGGACATTTGCAACACCAGTGGGTTTGCAGATGCGTTGCCACCTTTTAATAATTTGGGCCCCGGCTACCCCACTCACCGGACGAAACGAAGAAGTATAACATGCCGGTCTTCTGTGAGGTCGCGGCACTCACCCGGACGGACCTGCCCCTTCGTGTTGCTAGGCCCTAGCACAGTTATTTAAAAAAAAACGAAATTTATTATTATAGGAGGATATTTAGTTGTTTTCCCGTCTGGTTGGGCGAATAAATAGAAATAACCGCACATGTAAATATTGCCTACAATAAATAAATAAATAGGACCCAACCAGATGGAAGCCCTCGGCGGGGGAGACCGAACGGCCGAGGGTTCATCATCATCATTTCAGCCTGTTTCAGCCCCTGCTGAACATAGGCCTCCCCCACAGCCTGCCACGAAGCACGATCCGCCGGCATTCATCAACTTCCCGCACACTTTCACAGGTCGTCACTCCATCTAGCGGGGGGGGGGGGGGGGGGGTCGACCCACGAGGGTATTATATACGAGGATATATATATATAGTATACGAGGGTGTGGTTTACCTCACGTTCTTATCGCTGCTGCTGGCCGAGCGGAGCAGCTTGCCCGCCTTGGACCTGACGCGGCCCTCCTTGCAGTTGAGCACGGCGCGCTGCTCGTCCATGCGGCCCGACTGGCAGCGGCTGAGCAGCTCGAAGAACGACTCCGTATGCAGGTCCTCAGACTCTGCGCGCGCCATCGGCTTCCTCGGCGGCTTCTTCCTCTCCTTCAGCTGGCACGCCTCGTCCTCCCCCTCCGCCCCCTCGTCGCCCTCGCCCTCGCCGGCCCCCTTGCGCGCCTCCTTCTTCTTGTCGGGAGTTAACTACGCGTGACAATGGGCTCCGTTGCACAACGGCGGGCGGTGGACATGCGACACGTACCCGCGCCCAGTGGGCCGCCGCTATTTTTGTATTGTGCAGCCGCCAAGGGCGTGATAATCGATAGGCCGCCGCGGGTGGATTTTAATCGAGTCGACGGCTTGCCATGTAACATTTATTATGAACGGCGGGCGAACGAATTACTCTCGTGACAATATACCAAATAAATGGTGCAACCTATGGTCATGTTTTTTAATATAAATAAGTACAGCAGTGTAATTGTGACGGCACTGCTATTGAAAACTGAGCTAGTATTTTTAAATTTTTAAAAGTACTTGAATTAGCTTTATAATATAAAGACTAAATTAAATAATATTTAATCCCGCATAAAATATTATATAAAATCTTTTCATTTCCTTTTGTTAATTGTATAAAAAACTGAAAATGAGAAATATTGGTCGTTTTTGAATTTACTCAAAGAAAAATTAAATCCATTGTTTCGCGTTTGTTTTAGTTTTGCAATAAAATAGTTATAAATATAGTGTCTCTGCTTTATAAATTGTATTATTCTGAACTCATCATGTCGGTAGCCCATGAAGAAATACCAAGATCCTGACATTGCTTGGAGATGGACATAGTCAGGGAAATACAGCGAGAACTCTTGTGACTATTTCTACAAGTCAGAGAGTACTTCAACGTTTCCATGAAACTGCATCCTATCTTCGAAGACCAGGCCGAACAAGGTGCGGCGCGGGAGGATCGCTATATGGAGTCAACAATTTTGAGGAATGGCTTTGTTACGGCTGTTGAAGTAAATAATCATCATTTCGGAATGGATGAAACATCAAATGATCATTACCATTAAGACTTGCAAATGTCCCGAAACTACAAAGTGACCACGGAAACGAGGTTGGGTTACTGTAGAGAAGACAAGAATTGTAGTCTGAATGACTGGTCAATAGTTGTTTTCAGACGAGTCTAGATTCTGTTTATACATGCACGAGAGAAGAGCGGCGGAGCGCAATAACCAAGCACCTATAGAAGAAAACGTACCACGCGGCGAAGACTGTTCACGTGTGGGCTGGGATTTCTTCCGAAAGCCGCGCTGAACAAGCGGTGATAGTAAAACGGTACTTTAACTGCAGAAAGATATGTCACTGGAATTCTGAATGATAACGTTTGGTCAATTTTTAGTACACGTGGGCGAAAATGTCGTTTTTACGCAAGAAAATGGCCGCACACAGCTCAGATAGTATTTGCCTATTTTCAAGAAGGTATCAGGCACTTGGAGTGGCCAGGACGCAGCCTCGACTTCCATTGAGCAAGCGTCGGACGAACCGGGAACGTGTGTCAGCCGAATCCACCGCCAAACACGCTACGTGAAATGAAAGATGCTCTTATAGAGGCACGGCGGAATATTCCGCAGCATCGCCTCAAAAACCTAGTAGAAACTGTACCAAATCGCATAACAGCAGTATTGCGAGCTCGTGGTGGCAACAAATACTAAAATTCGTGAAAACGGCACATCTGTAACCAATCTACATTTACGATAATACTGGAAAAACCACGCGTTTTTTATTATTTTTTTATTTTACATTTATTAAAAATGAAAAGCTGGATTTCCTTTTTTTATAGGCATACTAAAATATTCTTTAAATTAGTCTGTAATTCATAAAGCTCGGTAGGGTATTTTTGAAGATATTGATGATTTTCTAACCGACCCTTTTTCTTTGCTAAAACTCGAATTAAAAAGAAAAAATTAAAAGATACCGATATTAACAATAAAATATCAAAGAATCTGTGAATTTTAATGGAGGCGATGGCAAGTTGCAAGTACTCGCTATTAGTATTGTACAAAAATTATTTGTCCGCCATAAATAAAATGATATCACACGGAGAGTTTGATGTCCGATTTCACCAACGATCCCTAAACAATCACATGTTAGTGGAGGATTAAAGAGTCCCCAAAACTATCCCATAACTAAATTTGCTTTTCACTGGACTGCTTTTTAATGGACACCTCCATATGCGACACATTTTTACAACGGTGCACCACCCTACTGAATTTTATTTTTGATTTCAAATATTTTTTGAAATTTATTCGATTTCATCGTATGGTTTTATTTTAAGCAAAAATAATATAATAGCATTTATTTCAAGGAAGATATATTGTTTTATATTTGAATAACACGGTTTTTCCATCAATTATGTAAAAGAAGAATAAAATTCACATAATTTTAATTTTCCCTTTGACTAGCTACCATATTTGACCATGTTTGACTTGATCACTTGACGCAAATTCGACTCGACGTAATAGAAATTTCTACTATTTGAATTATCTTTGAGTAAAACTGTTCTGTGATTTGAATTTGATTTCATTAGCGACGTAATTAGTAATGTCTAAATGAACACGAGCCATAAGGTGACTTACTCTGAGAAAGCCGACAGAAGTTAATTATAAAATAGAGATGCGCGATATAAGATGAGAAGTAATAAAGTATTCATAATAAGGACATAAAACATTATTGCACGAAACAAACAGCAGCAAGCATAGAACGACTGCAGATGTGCGTCGTAGGAATGCCATATGGCGTCGTGTTTTGAGAAAGCAGTCAGTGAGCGCTCTCCGAAATTAATTATACAATAGAGTTGCAATAAAGGCACAAGATGTTATTGCTCTAAACAAATTTAATTACGATTATTATCAAATATAGTGGTCAATGGTCTCTCAATTATCAAGAAAATCAAATAAATCACTGTCCATCTTGTTCTCTAGAAATTACTTTTAGTTATGAGACGCTTTATGAGGCCATTATACGTCGTCCTAAATTTAGCGGACCGTTTAGTCAGTAAGTGACCCCGAAATATTGGTGAAACGGGAACGGTCCCCTTACGGACCCCTAAGTTTGCTACAGGGCCTTTTAAATCTTAGGGGTGAAAATCGGACATGACTATCGCGAAATTAAATGTTTCAATCAAAAACTATAAAAACACAAATTTAAAGCAGCTAAAACATTTACAAAAAACGCGAACGGCGTTAGTGGTTTTATAAATTTTTTTTCGTTCCATTATTTATTTATTTTAATATAAAGAACTCAACTTACGCCAGATAGTTTGAAAAGTCATAAGTATTCGACAACTCTCCTTCAGTCACAATCTAAATTCAGTACTCCCAACTTATAATACCGCTGTGTCGGGGCACGTTTCGATAACAACCTGGGGAAGTTGTTCTCGAATATTTTGTTGCATATTATTTTACCGTTATGTATTATAAAATATCAAAAAAGTCTGTCCGTAACTTTGTCTAAGTTTGTCTTGTGAAGAAGTAGGACTACTGTATGTATTAGAAAATATAACTGTGTTTATTATTGACGTACATTTTGTACTTATGTATATGATGTACAATAAACAAAGTGTTGATTGGTTAATACGCTCAATAATACTATTTTAAACAGCATGTTGAACCAACATTAAATAGATATTCTTAATAATGAACTTAACAAGGGACAGTGTTTAAAGTATAATTAAATTTCAACAATAAAATTCATCAGCAGCAAATAGCTCTTAGAATCCTTAAGAATTCCCTTTCATCATCGAACGCATAGACTCCGCTCGGAATTAACGCAAAATGGAACTGGAATATTCTCGACTCGCCGAGATAACAAAATTCCATAATTCCCATCTCTAACATCTCTGCCGTCCATCCAGCGCTCCAATTATTCTCGACACTACGAACTTTTGCTGTAAATGAGTATCGATTTTAAATATGCCAGAGCAGGTAGATCTAGATTGCGGGAAATCCTTACTATAAAGGACCATCAGTAGTTCTCAGTAGCCTTTTCCTTGCCCGGCGCCGAGCGCTTCTAACGCAGAAAATTAACTTTTCCGTGGAAAATTGTGAGATAAAAAAGTATGGTACAGCAATAAGGACCAATTAGTTACTATACAAAGCCGAGGAAATTAAAATATACAGGCGCTGTGAGATACGTGTAGAAAATAAGTTACAGGAGCAATTAATTATTATAAGAGAGGAGCAAATTAATGTTGATTGGCGCACAAGTTTGAGACGGGCTTGGTTCGTCATTTCGGTTACAGCACGGGACATGCAAACAATTGTTACGGATCTTAGAAGCCGTCTAGTCACTAGTTACACCCGACTACGCTTCAATATGAAATGAATAGATAGGAATGAAATAAAAGCACTCTAGCGAGAAGACAGATATGAAATGAATAGGAATGAAATCTAGCGAACTTAGATTTACTGAAGGAAATAAAACGCGCACCGTAGCTGGCGGCAACAAAGACAATAAAATGGAAACACGGATGGAGCGTGCCGTGCTGTCAGTGTTATTTTAATATAAAAAAGCCCGTGTTCAAACTCGATATACCGTATGCTTTTCCGAGTTTGACGACCCACGGAAACAAGTAGAGTGATATAAAAACAAAAACTGAAACTATTTCAAAAATTTCACCGTGACACAGATTCTTTGATGAGTTTTCTTATTAGGAGTGCCAAATGTTCATCGCACCTGGATCAAAGACAGCTGCTCCATACTCTGGCGGCGCACGCGGAGCGCGTTGAAGGGAGTCTGGGCTGCGCCCTCTTCGGCGCTGGCCGCGGCGGCAGCGGAGGCCTGCTCCAGGGTCTCGATCTCGTTGGGCATACCTAGCACCTTGCAGAGGTCACCAATGTTCATCTGAGCCGTAGCCACCCCTAACACGTCGCCTAGCTGCGGGGAGAATGAAATTTAGATGTCGTCGAAATCGTAGCTCGGCCCACGTCGCAATGGCTATTTATAGAAGAAAGGAGGCAAGGGAGTTTCGCGGATTTTGGGGAAGCCAAACAACGGAGCCACGATGAATTCGAAGAGTAATTACTAAGCGGTTGTCGCACGTTTGATGTAGGCAATCATTCAAATTACGAATTGAGATATTGGAAAAATTTTTACGGTTTCGACTTTTGGTTGCTTCCAAACGGCCAAACGGAAAAATAATTTCGTTTGACGTAGTCTCAAAACCAAACGCCTTTATACGCCCACTTCAGCAGTTGAAGTAAAATGAATGGCCAACCGCGAAATGGGGCGGACATCTAAGAGATCGGGGAAAGTTACACAAAGTTCCATGGGTGTACGAGAAGCGGCGAGTAAGATACCAAATGACGTACAGACATCATCTATTAGGGTAAACACGCAACAGACAGTGACGACACTACTGCAAAGAGAAGCGATCGCTTATGAGGGTAATAGAAAGAGAACCGAAATACTTTATAGAGAGAACCGAGAACGCATGAATACTTCATGCCACCAATTATCAGTTAACATAGCCAAATGAAAGAAATACGCGGCAAAGCGATCAAGCTTATTATGTGTAATGCCAAACAATGAGACACTCCATTAATGGTGGCGGTTTAAGTCTCGTTGAGAATTGGAACGACACAAGTCGCGAAGCCACGCGTTGTCTAACTATGTATATCAGGCATTAATGCAAGGGATGGCATACGATAACATATAGAGGAACCTATATAGGAAGTGAGGCTTGATAATATTTTAACAGGGATTACGCACTGGATGTGCAAAAAAACTCGTTACTGTAAATATACCATAGCAAATAATGGTTAGGCGATGAATATCGCAACAGTGGGTTGGAGTCATCAAAATAATTTTAATAGTGCTACCGCAACTCACAAAGGGCTTCCCGCTAACGTTCGCAGTAGACGTATTTGCAAAGGAGCTTCTAGGAACTATTCAAAGGAGATGTTAAATCAGCCTCCATGATGCAACCAGCTATGTGCACAGCTCGGCTTCATAGTTATTTGCTTTAATCCTCTTTTGTACAGTTACAGCGACAATTTCGAGTCATCGGTGTGTATGTAATTGCATATTGATACTGTTAATATTCAACTGACGTCATAACTAGACGTAAATGGCTAAGATAAAAGCTAATTCTTCCCATTCATCATTAGATCGAAAGTAATATTAAAGTCGATGGGATCGAAAGTCGAATAAATAAATAAATAAATGAAATGTTTAAAGGTATTACTTGTAGGGATACCGATTGCAAAGTGCTGCATAATTAATATTGCTCTGTACGGGAATAATTTGATATGGAGTTAAAAATACTTACTTTTCTAAAATCCACCATGAAGCATAAAAGGCCATAAAAATGGCTTCCAATACTATTAAATAAATAAATAATTTTAATTTGAATGAAGTCTAGTACATAGTCATTTTTATAAAGCATTAAATATCCCCATTTGTTCGGCACTAAAATAAATAAAATGTTCGTATGAGGTTTTATTTTTTTTCTGCGTACATTAGTAATAAATGTTTAGCTTAATCTAAAGACAAAATAACCAATTAATAATTGTTTCATGCATCATAATTAGTTTAGACAGACACCAAGACCACAATGCACGAATTGGCAATTGACAATCGGACGACATCAATTCTTGAGGAATATATACATCACTGGTTTTCAGTTCAATTTCCCGACGTTTCGTGAGCTGTGGCGATCGGTTCTGTTTGTCTAGAACAAGCAAGCGGGGGCATGCGTTTGCGGACGTCACCAAGGCACATCGAATACAACATACATGCGTGTCAACAAATCATTTGTATAATCTAAATCCGGCACGTCTTTGAAAATCTCGATAAAATTCGAACTGCAACACATCCGTCGCGTGAAACTGTTCGATTGACCGTTTGTCGCACGCGGAAGCGTGTCGTACGCAGATTGTTATTCCAACGTTTCGTAAAATGCCGCCCGCCATCAAAACCTTGTGAACGCACCGCAACCGAAGCATGAATCGCAATCGAAGGGCCAGCGAAATCGCATATGCAACGCGCTGTTCCGTAACCGAAAGGATGCAACTGGCCGTCGCCGCATTAGAACTCGGTAAGCGAGACGTACCTGCTGAACGAGCGGCGCCCGGTGTATCATGCCATTGCCCACCCTTCGTTAGTAGCGGTGACGCATGCATGACGCGGCGTTACGCGGGCCGGGGGCCGATACGAACCTCTTTCGAGATGCTATAATGCTCCTTAGCGTAATACAGTGCTTTCTCGTGATTCCCGAGCGCCGCGTGCGCGTTCCCGAGCGACCAGCAGGCGCGGCCCTCGCCGACGCGGTCCTGCAGCTTCCTGGCGGCGGCCAGGTGGCGCGCGTGGTACTCCTCGGCCACGCGGTACTCGCGCAGCAGCGTGTACGTGTTGCCCAGGGAGTAGCACGCCTGCGCCTCCACGGCGGCGTCGCCCAGCTCCTCGGCCAGCGCGAGGGTGCGCCTGTGGGGTTGCCGGGCGGTCAGTCGGGCCGGGCCACGCACCGGCCTCCGCTGCTGCACGAGTGGGCAGGCCCGTCCGGGGAATACCGCGGCCTAGCAGAACACCGCCGTGATGTGCAAGTGTTATACTTCTGCGCTTCGACTTCTGCGCTTCGTCTGGCGAGCGAGGTAGCCGACAATTTGGCCGAGGTAGCAGGGTATACTTAATTAAAAGGCGGCAACGCAGCTGCAACCCTACAGCTGTTGCAAAGTTCCATGGGCGGCGGTTATCGCATCAGGTGAACCGCCAGCTCGCTTGCCCAATCCTCACATAAAAAAGTTGATTGCTCTCGACTGCGTACGGCCGAAACAGAAAATTATTTACGGCGACCCTTACTTATAGGTAAATGTATAAATGAAAAAATGTTGCGTAATCGCGCCACAGCATTATAATGAAAATATAAATTTTCAACGACCATCTAAAACTTTAACTTAGGTTCCTTTGTCAACAATAAAATCGAATGGCAAGCAGCTTGCGCACACGAGAGCGGAGCTTAATTCGCTTTGTATGTTTACGGAAGTTGCCTAGAACAATTACCTTACCGCGAAGCTCGCTCAATGCACGAAGCACTACATATCAGGTTACCAACTACTGATATCGAAACTTTATAACGTTAAAATGTATGCATATAGAACACGCATAAAAGTGATATAGCAACAATAACTATACATATATACATTTACGTCAAACAGGTACTTATCGCTTGCTTACTGGAAGTAAAGAAAAGACTCGACGAATAAACCCTTCACTGTATGCTGTCATCAAATGGGTGCATTTCATCGTGACACGATGAAATAACGAATGCACCCATTTTACCGTTATTAGAGAAACATTCGCGAGCCGCAAGCAGTCGTTTAAATATCAATGAGCTGATGTCAGCCCCATAATTAGCCTCTGAATTTTTCAGTGGATTTACACACACCTAAGACCCTAACCCTTCGGCGACAATCAAATTAATTAAAAATTCAGCGTGCCGGCCCACAATGGTACAGATCGATTTGTCGCTTACAATTTACCTAGTTACAACTTTATTTTACCCGGGTTCGTTTCCTTGTATATCTGTCAAATGAAATTTGTTAATTAAATGTTCGTTAATTTAATGACTCAATTCATTTTTGTCATCAATGTAACAAAATGTCTGTACAACTAAATGAATTTGTTTTAATTCACTCGTTAGTGCAGTGCTCAATGGCGTATTTTATGTGTCAAGGAGTTTTTCATCTCTTTTCATGATTTCTCAGAATTGAATGTTGTGTCGCTATGAAGAGCGTAATTAAATGTCAGAACATTCCGTTAACTAGCCAGTACAAGTATGACCATAATCAGGACATAACGCCGTGAGCTCCTCTGTATTGCGAAAAGGATTTTGAGTGAATACGACATTGTCTCATAGCTGCACTATTTTTCAATTACACTCAATCAATATAATGAGAGCCGTGGGAGTTCAGCGCCTCTGCTCGCTCTTAAGTAAAAATACTCGAACAAGTTCAAGTGAAGTTCAAGTCCTGGTGTCGGCCCCAATGAAGTACTTAATTGATTATGGAAGAGCTGTATTACTACGTGCCCGACGACGAAGGAAGACATCGCGAAGATACCCGCATATCTAAGAAATAATTGAAAAATATATAAAGTTTGCCGTTGATGACTTCGTAGGGCCGTCGCTGCGAAATTGGCTTCAGCGTAGGGGGTCGTGGGTTCGATTCCCACACGGGACAAATATTTGTTTGAACCACAGATCCCGGATCCGGTTTCCCAAGATGGGTTGGCGTCAGGCAGGCGGCCGGTCGTAAAAAACATAGCCAAGACCGCTTACAACGCGATTCACATGGTGTGCCGACCCCACCTAGGTCAGAAAAGGACAGGAGGATGATGATCAAGTTTGCCATTCAGCACTGCGTGCGTTCGTCCCTTGTGGAACCCCGTGTGCAGTGGAAGTGTTTGTTCAAAAGTGGCTTACACTTTTTCTACTACTCAATACATGTAATGTTCACCAACATGTATGTCTATATATGTATATATACTTCAAACGTGCTAGAGTGAGACAGCTAATAGGATAGACACGTATAATGCAAAGTAACATTTCACTTCGTTTCGATGACTCAGCGAAAAAAGATTTTCGAAAGCCAAATTAAATAAACAAAAGGCGAAACGTAGTAATACGATTGTAGCACATAATTTTGTTTTAAAATATCGGAGACATATTTTAAAATAAAATGGATCCAAGTGTATAAAATACAATTGAAGAATGGTAACGTGTTCGCGCTTAGCAGCGTGTAAACTAAGTTATGCTGCAAAAATTGTATGGACTATGTTTTCGCAGGGCAGAAATTCTACAACATGGATGCACAGATTTTCACATGATTTTCTCGATTCAAGGAACCGGACATCACTATATTTTACATTACATCGAATACAAGCACAGGACTATGCTTGCGTGGATAGTATGTAAACGACAAAAGTTTCGCAATAGCGGCGTCGCTAGCTGTGATATATCTATATTATGTAGTCTAAAATACGATAAAATTATTAATGTCAGCTAGCAATGTTTCGAAAAAGAGCAGAATATTTTTTATGCTCCTACTTACTACTGTTTACATTTCGAATTACATAAAAAATTGTATCTTAAAAATCGGTGTAATCACTAAATAGTATAATAACACAAAAAAAAGTCGTCCCGCAGTCTGTCTGTCTCTATGTATGCTTAGATCTTTAAAACTACGCAATGGATCTTGATGCGGTTTATTTTACTAGACATAGTGATTCAAGAGGAAGGTTTGTATGTATAATACATTGCACCCATGCGAAGACGGGGCGGGTCGCTAGTATATTCATATTATCCACTATCAGTATTGTTGGGTTTGTATATTGGAGACAGAAGCACGATTAAACGAGTATAAGGATCACCTTATATATCCATAACGTGCTGTTGAATTGAGTGGATAATTCGTAAAAAAATACGTACTTATAATGTTCTGCAGCATTCTCGAACTGTCCAAGGAATATATGGGAGTTTCCAAGATTGCTGTTGGCGCGGCGTTCGGCTGCCTTGTCTCCAACCTCCCTCGCAATGGTTAGCCTCTCTGTGTGGTAACGGATGGCGCGTGTGAAGTCACCTAGTAAGTAGCACGTATTGCCGAGATTACCACAGGCGCGACCCATTGCCTGTCGATCACCTAAACTACGCATTAGTTCGAGATTCTCTCTGAAATGTAAATTAACAAATTAAAAAAACAAAAGAAATCAAATAATATCACTACAATTCCTATCCATAGAGTTCGATAAAAAATAAAAAAAGGAGAGAGCTAAAAAGCGCGCAACAAATTTGTCTATAATGTCATCGTTTTGTATGTACACAAAAAAAACATAGGGCTTGACGTGTAACGCGTTCATTGCACATAGTCCGAACGAACACAAAGATAACAAAATTATTTTTTCAACAGGTTTGCGGTAAATTGTTTTATGGTGGTAAAACTAACTTCCCTCCTAATAAAAGTCGTGTTGCGTTTAATAAATTCAAGTTTTAAGACAGCTCTTAAGTTTAATATATTTATACTTTAATATATATATCATAGCCTTAATTAATAGTAAACCTTAAAATTCAACATTGCTGGCTATTTCAACAGTAAGTATATGCTAGAATCTCCGTTACCTTAATTCGGTCGGTTCGGTATACTGCATCTGCTTTTAATTTATTTACTTAAACAAAAGAATATTTATGTGATGTTTTAACAATACAGAACCTGTTTATTTTTGATTTGTTGTTCAATTAAATATTAATAAAATCTAAAGCCCAATAGTTTCTGAGAAATGTGAGGAGAACATCACAAATGTTAGGAAAATATTTTTGCATTCGTTGTTCATTTTCAAGAGCTGTCCTGAGTGAAGCCCCGAAATATTATGCATATTTCGAATAAAGTACGGGCTTCAACTCTTACAAATAGAATATAATTTTTTTAGAGTTAGAAGATACAAAAATATCTACATAACTACCGGCACAGTGGTTAAGAGGTCTCACTAGTTACTCCTTTGCGTATTGAAAGGGTGACTCAGGCCTCTAATAGGCTCTAATAAATTGCTACAAATATATTAGACTAGGTAGAAACAACCTTTCTGTTCTTATTTTCCTTATCTCATTTTTACTCACTTCATTGTGTCAAATACACAACACAACTACATCTAAAATCGATAGCCTTACGCGGATAGGGTGCAAAGCAATTCTAAGAACGTATATTTATATAAGTTGTGTTTCAAACTCGATTTTAGCGACGGCACCTTACCTCCGCTTACTTCATTCAGCGGCAGAGTAGACGCTGAGCGCGGGAAATAGTTTACAACTGTAAGCGTTTCGACGGACGGAGAAATTAAATAATTCCATTTAACAGCTTCAATAGATGTGAATCGATAGTTTCAGAAGGAACCACAACAAAATACACTTTGCTCAATGATCCCACAGACTCATTAAAACTGAATCCGACGAGATTCAAATCATATTAATTGCGCTCGAGCTGCGACTCGTTTAAATATTGGACATAAGCTTACCCATTTGTTCGATTGAATTTGCATCATCTCGTAGTAAGGAATAACAATCGGGTAATAATGTAATATTTGCTCTTTGGAATCACTTTTTGTGTATGCTATGTAAAATTGAATTAAAATGGAATTATAATAATTTTACGTTACATGCGTATTGAAATACGAACTCCTTTCATATTTTGTACACAGTACTCTTTTGAACTACAAATGGGAAAACTTTAAAACGCCTAATTTTAAAACACATTTCCGTTAGACCTTTTAGGCAATAGCACTTGTAAAGTAATGGAGCTATGTAGTTATTTAACTAAACGTAAGTTTGTAACTATCTAAGTACGTTAAGATTGTAATTATCTAAGTAGAAAAAGAAATGTAAGAAACAATTTAAAATAAGTGACTGTAAGTAAATATAATTATGGTCCAATCTTTTATGATTCCGTATCCAAAGGGTAAAGACTCCGCTGTCTACCGTGATAGTTACACAACAACAGACATGTTTTTTTGCCGTTTTAATAGACAATGGTACGGAACCCTTCGTGCGCGACTCCGACTCGCACTTGGCCGATTTTTTTATCTTTCATTCAATCATTTCACGATTGTTTTAAACACATGTTTATTTCAATTCTTGTTCAAGTGGTACGTAGTAATATATACTATGCCCAATTAACTATGTTAACAAACCAAAAACCTAATCTACTAATTTGCTACTAAATAATAACGTAATATTAAGTATTCAAAAAAGGGTTTAGTAAAGTATTAAAAAATTTTATACAGTATTTGGTGAAAAGTGCCAAAAGCAATACCACAACAAATACATGTTTTGCGATATATTTTCTTTCCCTTTATTTTCATCACGGGACTGTCTGCTTTTAAAATTGCTACGTATTGCGATGCCCCAATTACTAGCTTTTTAAAAAAAAATCCCATTTTAAAACAAGAGTAAAATGTCAGACTGTCAAACGGATGGATCAGTGTTTTTGAAACCGGAATGATTGGCTGCCAGTTTCGTTTGGAATACCTGGAAAGTAGTCTACATACGTACGCCATCCTAGTAACTCGTGTCATTAAATGACAGATTGCAGTGAAACTTTCAAGCGTAAAATCTAAGAGAGAAAATTGCGAAATTATTTGCTCACGACAAATAACGGATCATTCAAAAATCACAATATATTATATTTTATATAGTAGTGGACGCCGAGTGGTCGAAATTCGACAATAATTAATTAAATAAAAATTTGTAGAAAACGTGCGACGGCCCTGTGGGAATCGAACCCACGTCTTCGGCATTCGCGGCCTGACGCTTTAACCACTAAGCTAAACGGCTGATTGTCACACCGACGAAAATCTTACCGTGTTGTATCTACATTATATTTTTAGCATTTTTCAAAAAACACAGCGGCGACAATCTTTTAGTACTTTTTCTACAAATTTTAATGTTTAATGTTAAGTGCAAAGATTAGCACTATAAAAAATTTAAATTTCTAATTTATTTAAATTATAACATTAGTTTGAACAAATTTAATCAATTCTCAAATACAATATACAATAAACAAAAATCAAAGAGTATTTATATGCGTGTTTGTCAAATACATGTTAGTGTGTGGAATGTTTTCTATATTGATTTAATGTATTTTTATGCATAATTAAAAAGAAATATTGGCATTCTGCACTCCTCCATATAAACTATAAGTGTGGGAAATTTCATACTCATCCTTTGGCGCAATTTTGTTAAAAAGCGGTACAAAGTTTTTGCTCCACGTATTAATATACAGATACACAACCATAATTATATTATAACTTAATAGAGCAATTCACTTTAGTCAAAAAATTTGCTTTGGAAGAACACACATCAAAATTATATTCAGCTGAATTAACCGCACTCACTGCGCATGAAATATTAATTGGCTGTGTCAAACATGGTTCCCATGCAAATTGCAGCCCTCTTTAAAGAGGCTTTAGAAGGCGTATTAATCATTACAGGGGGTCCATTTCGTCCTACGAAATATCGTTGGGGTCGTAGGAATACGGATATAATGAACAAATTATTTCACAATAATGCTGTTTTGAGCCTACTGCTCATTTCTAAATCGTTTTTAAATTGACAAAAAAAAAAGGAAATCTTTAGACACGTGAAAAGCAAATTAAAATAGAAATTATGGGAAACAGAAATTTGATAAAAGCGATGTTTTCATTATTTTTATATATAATATCAGCTTTTTAACTCGTATCTTTTTCAACAGGTATCAATCTATAAAGAGAGATTGCTTATCGAAATGTTTGTTTCCTTTAATAATTAAGAAATTTATTACTGCTCGAATAGCTTTTCATAAGTGCTATAAAATTAAGGGTTTTTAACTATTAATGAAAAAATAAGTAAATAAATAAGCAAAGAAATATATATATATATAACATTAAAGTTATAAATTAGACACAAAACTGGCGCCTTGATTTTTAGCATTGTAGAAACAGACGATGGGTGCAGTTGGCTCGAGATCATGCCTATGAGGTGCTTAACTGCTTATATTTAATGTCCAAGGCCGGTGTTTGACATACGGATACGGAATATTGGCACTCCTGTTTTACCCTGACTGTGTATTGGTCAGCTAATCGTAAAAATCGTAATATCTTCCGACTCATAAATAAAACAAAATATCATTGCTGTATCATATTAAGGAGTTGTAATAATTTTCTACAATCAGGCAACCGTCCAGTACGTCAACTAATAATAAGGGTTCTTATGACTGAAACTGAGCCCAACGACGTATATTTATACCAATCAGAAGCTCAATTTCAAGAATCCGCGCGAATAAGCTATGTCATTAAACACTAACCAATAATCGAGTTTACCCTTTTCATGTATGGTTACAGGTTACCGATGAACATTACAATTCCTGAGCGAAATTTCATCAGGAAATTTTAGAATCTGAATCACGTAAGATATTAAAATATCGCAAAAACTTTTAAGATATTAACTACGAGCAATGACACCGGTTGGTTGTAAAAGTGTAATACAAAATTGATTAGCTTGGGCCTGAAACGGACCTAGTCAAAGGAAACTAATAAGCTACTATAAGTTTTAATGAACTGGGCAGGAGATGCAATAAAGTTGTAGTTAGATGGCAAACTCACAAGACGTCGGAGCCCGATGTGTCTAGGTTAATGTTTAATTAGCAAGAATTTGAGAACATTGATATGGTTTGCGTTGGGCTGGCAAAACATGAAGTCACAACTATGTATGTGAATCGATAAAATAGGTATATCCGGTGAATAAGAATTAAGCAACAACGCACGCACTACACGTTTTGTTAAAAACCTTAATACATTATAAATATTACATTTTTATTGCACGCCCAAGCTATATTTTTTTACATTTTTATAATATGGCTTTTAACACTAATTTTCTTTTAGTTATTTTGTCTTGGTGACTCGACGCTTTGAGCGTTCAACAATTTTTTGTAGAATCCGTAAAATGCAATCAATATCTAGAATTTTATGATGCAGATCCGATGTAAAAACATGGGTAATGGTAATAGCACAATTTATTTAACGGTTAGAGATGGCTTACGATGTGAATATATTCCATATGTTACTAAGTGCTGAAACTTATGCCATGCGCCGTAACGCATGATTCAAGAAGTTTCTGTCCTGAACAAGCAAAATAACTGCGGCTTGAAATCTTGACTGTAACATAGTAGTACTGAGAAGGCTATAGCCATTTCTTAATACGAATAAGGAAAAAATCATACCCGAGTATGTTTCTCAAGTCCCACTAATACGTTTACAACGCATAGGGGATTGTGTTTTCTTTTTATATAGTGTTGTATTTTTATTCTCGAGACTGGTGAGGAGGTTAATATTCATGTCTTAAAAATATGTTAGTCATTATTATTTAATTGACAACAAATTTGCAACTTACTCGTAGTAAGTGACTGCTTGCATGAGGCATTCGCGAACCTCCTGTGGGAAGTGGCCGGGGTCGTTTTGCCCAACACGACCCAAATGTTTACCCTGTGCATGGTATACATTTCCCAAGTTGTACAAGGCTCGACCCTCACTGAGCTTATCGCCCAGGCAACGGGATATCTCCAGGTGGCGTTTACAACACTGTATCGCCTCCGCGAATTTCCCCATCACCTTTAAAGTGTTCCCTAGATTACCCGAAGCTTTGGCTTCGCCTAGTTTATCGTTTATTGTCCTGCGAATAAAGTCATAGTTAGTTTACAATATCTTGATTTTTATTATAATTACTATTAAATTATATGCACATTAGAATGTTGGTTAATTAGTTATATAATTGAAATATTTCTGGAAAAACCGCGTATTACTAAGAGACATTTTATGTTACAAAAACGCAGCAGCAACCTCTTATTATAAAGTTGTTGAGATTCCTTTTTTCACGAACTCTAAACAATATTAGTCAATACTTTTTGTATCTTACTGAGTTAGAGCTAAAAGATCAATAGTTGTTTTATTGGTGAAATAATAGCCATAATGACTGTTTGTTGTTATATTATGTTGATTATGCGTTGTAATTAATTTCAAATTTTAATTAATTCGCAAACTGTTCACAAACCAGCTACCCGAGGCCCAGTTCGAAGTGCAAATCTAGTGTAATTCCATTCAATTAATGGTTTAATCATTTCGCCGTATGGTTAACCACAACTTAACTATTGATCGAAATAGTAAAACCATAAATTGTTGACGAGATAAATGCAATAATTTGGTACCTTTAAGAAGGCCAGTGGCCGAGTCCTTAGCATACCCTTAATTCAAATTGAATAACACAATCGAAGCTTTTAGTTTGTTACAAAAGAATGTATTTTTTAAAAAAGAAAAGAAAAATATTGATAAAAAATTGAAAGAAGTCTTCAATTCAAGTAACTCTCGAGTACATTGCTATTTTGTATGTATTTAAAATAAGTTACGAGGAAAGCTAAAACTCTAAAAGGGAGTTCCGATACATTTTCACACGAGTATACGATCAATCAATTAATAGATGTAAAGTTGTGAAATATTGCTCCAGTCCTCGTTAAAAGCTTTCCATCTACTCTGCTTTGATGTGGCAGCACTGATATCGAAAATTTTGTCCACCGCCGACCACAAAATTCAAATTGCATCGATGTCAATTGCCGATATATCAAGAACAATTAGATAAAGCGTTCAGTTTCATATCACTCGTACAAATAATGCTACTGTAGATATCGAGTAAAATTTCCATAATTGAAGATATTTATGGAAATTTAAGTCCTTGGGCATAATTCTCGACTTGATTTATAGATTCAATACAGACGCAATCCCAGATCTCTTCGAGTAGGTTTAAATTGTACTCGTTAACAAATACTTCTTGTGCAAATCGCCGGAGAACACGATGTAGATTAATTATTATTTAAACACGATATCGATTGGTCTAGCTGCAATTACAGAAATCCTAAATGGTGTTTTAATACACCGGTCTCTTTTCAAGCTCGAGTGCCTTTTATATTATTTTGAATTTGTTAAAAGCAAAAGCGCAACTCCCTAGTCTAACCGAAATATTCTCCTCAATTACAATTATATTCACTTCAAGGAACGTTCACCCTAGAGGCTAGGACGGGACCAACTGCTGTTGTGTACACAGAAATATTGAAATTTAGGAAAATAGTTACCTAGCTAAAGTGAGGTCGTGTTTGTGGTATTGCATTGCCTTGTTGTAGTCCCCCAAATAGAAATAGGCGTTGCCGAGTTGACTATAGATCGCGCTGAGGGTGCGCAGGTCATCCGTGCCCGCCTGGATTGCCGCCTGGAAGAAAGCAACTCCTGCGCGACAGTCACCAGCCTTACATAGCCTTTCGCCCTCGAGCGCCAACTCCAAGCACATGGAACCTCCATCACAACTCTGCAATTATCAGGAGCATACGTGGTAACCGGGGTATCACAGACTTTAGCCCCATATCCTTACGGTTCTGAAGCTGTAGACCCACCGCAAATTTAGACACACCGCCCACCACCTTTCCATGTTTTCTTTTTATGAATTGAAACTAGAAAGCTATAAAAATAGTAAATACGCAATGATATTATTGTTGTTCAATGAGTGGTTGTCAACTTAATGATGTAATGAATATATAAGAATAAGAGTAAGATATTCTTTTTTAGCATATTTCTTGTCTTTAATCCCTGTTGGCGTACGTCTTTAATTCCCCTTATCTGTCATAAGGGGAATCCATATTCTTTTTCAATGAGCGAATTACGCACGGCATAAAAGACGGCGTGGTTTGGCGTACATGAATTTTATCTTTTGTATTATATTAGCGTATATTACGGCGATTAACGGAATTTTACGGTGCAGTCCACGAGGATTCGAACCGGCTATATCAAACGGCGAGCCAAACGTGTCAGCTACTACATCGTGGAAAATGTTAATTTTTATCGGTAAGCAAAAGGGCGCTTTGTCACCTACCTAAATGCCTCCGAACAGCAGCGAGCTGTTGCATTGTTTGTTTGCAGAACAGCATATTCCTAATCCAAATAAACTATATAAAATACCATTTACGTGTTTTTCTTGAAGTAAACGCAAAGATTTTGTCGTATTTGTTTTAAAACGAAATTAAAAACTTCTTCGGTCTTTACTTATATATTCTGAACGTCAGTTCCGCGCGTTTCCTAGTAAAGCATAACATAAAGTACTTTTAAGTTGCTACAAATTTCCACTGCTACAATATAACGATTACAAACACATAAATAACATTAACAGATGCATTGAGAAAAACGGTGCATTTTTTTATTACGTTTGGCGAAGACAGCATGCCCAAATACAAATCAAGTCTGTATATATAACTTATCAGTCTTAGTTCTTAAAAAATATTTTCTATAATGACAATATCATAAGTGAAATGAAATTCTAAAGAAAAAAGAAAACAGTTCGATAAAGTTATGTAAAATCATGACAAACTTAAAAATATTCCGTAAAAATTTACCGTCGGATTCCGGAAAATACGAGTAACTTCAAAATATCTGACTTTCAGCGAGCGAGTACCGATCTGTTCATGTTGACAAGACCTCCTGCGCTATAAATATGTTCTGAGCAGCTGTCAAAACTTTACCTAGTTCAAAATCTGAAGCGCAACAGTTGAAAACTCATGAAAGCAGAACAAAATAAATAAAAAGGGCTTGAAAAATAAACAGAATAAAATATTTTGAATTGCCCGGATGCAAAAAAAGAAACGCGTAATAATCGAGTTCTGAAAGGCAATCCAATTTTGACGTAGTGAAGCTTTGCATAGGTTCAGTACGATTTTCCACACACAGTGCGAATTGATAAGTGTTTCAGAGGAGAGAATTGCATTTACACGAGACTGAGCCTTTTACGGCCTGCGAAAAGCGATGCTATTTCAATTGAAAAAAAAAAAAACTACTTTACTGATCCTGTAGTTTTTACGTCGAGGCGTTTCAAAAACAATATCAGCATAGTCGACAATTTCACGTGTTCGGTGTAAAATGTCTCTTCTCTTCTGGCAATTTAGAACTTTATCCTCCACACACATTAAGAAATTGCTGGAATTTTAATGTAAAGTCATAACTCATGTTATATTTGTTCATCTAGCAGCATAAGTTGTGTCCATGTGGGGGCGGGCCATAAGAGACCGCTCCGAGCCAGCTTTGGACGGGGCGGCCTATTCCCAACAACAAAGTGCACGGATTGAAAGTCAGGAGGATGTCGCTCTTCCTGTACTCGCAACTATGCAGTCGTGGATTGTTGGAATTGCGTTTAGCCACTTTGCTCATTTCTCCGTGATTAGGCGGGGCTGCATCAATGATGCACTAGCTATCCTGGCTCCCAGAGCCTCCAGAGAAAGCGGATATGGAGAGTCCGTTAGCCATTCTGAAGTGGGTTTAGTAGGAAGAGCTACGAGAATATTGTAGCGCACCTTAGCTATATAACTTCCCGACGGAAAGGATGTGCAGGCAGCCAGCGGTGGAGAGGTCGCTATTATGCGCGATTATTTTGCTGCAACGAAAACAACATCGTGTCGGTTACTGGTCTATCCTTGCCCTTTTTGCCTCCATTGTCTCCCATGTAGGGGTAGACTTCGGATTGAATAGGTGAAGTAACCACGCCAGAAACTAAATTCGATGACGGCCGAAGAAAATCCGCGAGGCTATATGATATAAAAATAACATGTATATAACATTCAAAGATGCAAAATGTTGTCACCGGTCTCCGACCCGAAGAGGGTAACATTAAATCCCGGCTTACACAACCCCACACTACAGGTAGCGTAGGGCTGTGTTAAGTCGAGATTTGAAATAGGGCCCCATGTTAACAATGACATTAGAACTTCAAACATCTAAATCCTTCAATCAGTGCTGTAAAGTATACCAAGCGTCGCGAGATAAATCAAAATTAAACACGATAACATCCGATAAAGGATTTTTATTAACATACATTTCGTTGAAAAGTCGGGGAGCCACTGTCTTTTGCACCTTAAAATGAACATCGCACAATCATCAAGTACGTGTGTACGTTCATTGTTCGGATATTCGAACGCTCACCACATAGGATTGCTTATTTTCAAATGAATGCTTTTGAAATAAGTCACTATTTTTGAATAAAAATTTAATTCGACATTTTTAAAATGCTTTTAAGAATTTATTCTTGCAACAACAAATTCTAGTAACAGAATAGAACAAATTCTTATAGAACCTTTCTTCTGAACTTTCATTAAAACATTGGCGAAAAATTCTACGATAATTCTAGCAATATTAAACATTATCGAGATTTATTTGAAATATTTCGTGAAATGAAAAGTATTGTTTCTTTTCTACTTATGTTATGCTTATTCATTTGTTTTACGTTATGTTTCCGAGATTTGTCACATGAACAAAATTGCATAGTAAAATACTATAGAAAACCGACCGTTTTACATTTTACAAGCTTTGTAACTTTTAGGCAATTTTTTTTGTCAATTTCGCACCAAATAACCGATCCAATTAGTATTATATCAGGTTAAGGATCACTTACTAAGTACAAAATCACAAAATGCTGGCATATTCCTACGGAGCTTCAGACGCAATCTTTAAAAAATGTTTTTAGGCCGATATTTCGGAAACAATGCCCTTAAGGGCAAATCAAAGAGTATCGACATTAGAAAAAAAAATCAAATAAAAGTTTTGGAGAATAGATTGATCTTTAAAAATTGGGTTATCGGACGAGACAGAAAAACGTGTTCATTAAACGAAACATAAATCGTAAGCGATAAGCACTAAAAATTTTTTAAAGATTATGTCTCAAGCTCCATTGGATTCCGTCAGCATTTTGTTGTTTTATACTATGTAATGATCCCAAACCTGATATAAAACAAAAAATGGATCGGAAATTTATTGCGAAGTTAAAATTTATTTCTATTTGCCTATTCATTAAATGCATATTTTTTCTATATCAGTCTTTATTATAAAATACGACATAATAATTCTCATCAATTTTTTTAAGAAATATTATTATTAAAATAACAAACTAATTAACTATTAAAATACATGTAACTTACTTCATAGTTAAACGAATTTAAAAATTTTAATTATATTGTTAAAGCTTTTAATTTATTAGCTGCGAAATGTTTAAATTAAAATATTACCCGTTAACAAAAGAACGGCTCAAAGAAAATGCCATAGATATATATTTTTAAAGGAATAATAATTATGTACTTTAATAATTGTAATACTTGTAAGAATAAACTTTTCAGGACAGTTACCGTCGGACTTTTAAACAAACTTTATTCACATACCTTTGTATTTGGGCCCGCGTGTCTGTTGCGCTTATTTTACATACTCTAAATGATATGTGCTCAAAAATTTAAATAAACTACGTAAACGATTATTAAAATATTATTTAAAAACACAAAAACGCAAACGGACGCACAACATAAAACTAACGTACAACATAAAAATGCGGGATGCTAAATAGGTGACCGATTGAAAATCTAATACAGTGCCTGATAGTTCCGAGTTACACCGAAGGAAACTGATTTCCAGAAGTTAGCGACCACGGAAACCGAATGGGGCGCTACGATTTTCGCGTAGACGTGCTACGGGAGCGCGCGCGACTGAAACGCGTTCGGGCGGTCGGAAGTGCAATTTACACTGCGCCGGGGTAAATTGAAATAGCTGGATGCATGGCCCGCACACGAAGGCGAGGGCAGCACACGTCGGCAGCCGGGCAAGGGTGTACACAGCCACCACGTATTAATATCATTCAGCCTATATTTCGCCAGGGGCGGAAGATGTGTTTCGGAAAGTAATTCGGGGGTGCGAAAATGATATTTTGAATTTCTGACATTCGCTCATATAAATCAACACGCGAAGTTGTTATAACTTATGTACCTACTCAGGAAATATTGTAATAAAGTGGTACCTTAAAAATAAAAGTAATCTAATTAAAAAATTATAAAAAAACCTAATAAAAAATAACATTCTTGATATTGACCTATATCAATAGAAAACACCTAAATTCGAATCATTTAAATGATTCCCCGAATGCCAAATAAACAAGGTAGTAACCTATGGTGCCAAAGCTTTCAAAACTTCACAACCGCATCACATGTTATGATGTTTTAGATTTTAACTATCGCAGTGCTATGTATCGGTTTCACATGTAGGCTGCAATGTTAAGTCTCAGATTCGGACGCCTGAGGAGTACAGGTAACCTCACTTCGATTATTAATTTTTACGAGCCAAAATCTATTCCCTAATTTGGCGCCATAACATAGTAAGCACTGCGTTCGCGAGTCCGCTTCGAAAAGTGGCATACATCATAATATTATGTATATAGTAAAGTGAAGATGCCTCAATCTATTCTAAAAGGCATAAGTTGTTTAGACCTAATATTTATTATTATATTATTAC